GACAAGCACAACAGGTGTTCACTACATCTTCCTATTTTATAGGCAAGGCCCATCTTTGAGCCGCCATCCACATGGTTTTACTGCCAGCATGGTGCATTCGTCGATGTAACCACTGGACTACATCAGTAGCTGGGGCTCTCTCCAGCCATCTTACCTTAGCCAAAGCATCGGCTTCATCATTTCCTGGACTGGCTAGGGGGAAATGTCCTGTGACATGGAAAAGAGTTACTTCTTTCTCATGCCCCAACTCCCATAACTCTTGCCACATGGCTTGTCCCCACATGGGATGGTGGCCTACCATCCACCATTGATATTTCCAAGTAGAAATCCAAAGTGTTAAACCTTTGTACACAGCCCAGCTGTCAGTACAGATGGTTAATGGCCCAGGCTCATTCTTTATCACCATCCATACTGCTCTCAATTCAGTGCATTGACTGCTTTACCCTGTGCCATTTTCATACCACATGGTATTTGTTAAGGGCTGGACAGCAACCGCTGTCCATGATACTGAAGGTCCCATGCTAGAGCCATCTGTATGCCAAGCTTGCTCTGTGATAGGTCCCTGTGCCTCATGGAAAGGTGTAGCCTCCACCTCCATGGGTAACGGTTGTGTCAAAGTTTCCTCCACAACCTGTACTGGTCCTAGCACAGTTTGCAACTCTTTGGACAGAGGACTCATTGACACAGTGCTCCTTTGTTCTATATATGCTCCCCATTTAGACAAAGTGGGAGTCTGAGCTACACCCATTTTAGGGTTGGTTGCCCACATGCGCAGCAAACCTATTATGGGCTATGTCGTCCTTACTAGGACTTTGGCAGTTCCTGTGATAGCTTCAGTGGCTATTGAGGCAAAATACACAGCTGCTAGCTGCTTCTCTATTAGGGTGTAGCGCACTTCAGTGCCCTTCCAGAGCTGAGACCAGAATCCTACAGGTGTGCGGAATCAGTCTTGTCTCTGCCACAAACCCCATCCTAACCGCTCCTGGGTTATATGTACACCTAACTCAAACAGCTTAGGGGTGTCAGCCACTTGTAAAGTTTGTACTTGCTGTATTGCCCTTTTCATAGCCCAGTAAACTTGTTCTACTTCCTCAGTCCAATCCCAGAGGGCTCCTTTCTTTGTCAATGCATATAGTGGGCATGCCATTTGGGCCATATGGGGTACAAAAGCTCTCCAATACCCCCAAAGTCCCAAATACGTCTGTAGCTGAGCTACAGTTGTGGGTCAAGGGTATGCCTGTACCTTATCTACAATAACTTCTGGGATGACCCCTGTCTTACCCGACCAGACCATTCTCAGGAATTTGACTGACAGCCCAGGTTCTTGAACTTTGGCTGTGTTCACGGCCCACCCACATTGTTCCAAATGACTTAGCAGGGTTGGAGCTGCCTGGGTTAAATCTGTAAGAGAATCAGAGGTTAAAAACACATCATCAATGTAGTGAAACATTGTAACCATGCTGGGCCTAGTCCACTTGGCTAGGTCCCCAGCCACCAAACCATGACGGATGGTTGGGCTATGCAGACAACCTTAGGATAATACTTGAAAGGTCCACTGTCTTCCTTCCCACATGAAGGCGAACTGATCTTGGCTATCAGCCAAGATTGGAATGGAGAAAAAAGCATTTACAAGGTCCAGTAAATAATGATAAGTCCCCAGCTGAGTCATCAGCTGATCTATCAAGCCATGAACTGAAGGCACAGCTGCATGCAAAGGAAGCACTACTTTGTTCAGTTCTTAATAATCTACAGTCATTCTCCAGGTACCATCAGGCTTTTTCACTGGCCATACTGGAGCATTAAATGGGCTCAGAGCTGGGAGAATAATATCAACTTTCTCTAATTCCAATACAGTAGCACTTATCTGTGCATGTCCCCCTGGTAGGTGACACTGCTTTACATTAACTACACGTCTTGGCTTGGGTAACACCTGTGGGTCATGTTTAGCATATCCTTTTAACACCGGCTTTGCTGTCTGTATTCACAGCCAAAACTCTCCAATTGTTGTTAGCAGGTGCAAACCATAAAGTACATCCATACCCAAGATGTAGTCAGCTACAGGAGATATACATACAGTATATACATGAGGAGGTAATCTTCCTATGCTCAATGGCAATGACACAGCTTTGACCTCAGTAGTATGTCCTCCATAGCCATCTATACAAACTGTGGCCCCTGGAAACTTATCTGGATTGCCATATATCAGGCTACATTCTGCACCTGTATCCACCAGTGCCAAAACATGCTGCACATTCATCCTCGACCAATATATTGCCAATTCAACATGAGGCTTCCAGTCCTCACCTGCCCCCCAAAGATGTGTACTTTGGCCTGCTCCTTAAACAGAATGCCTCTAATCATCCACCTCCTCGGGAGCAACCATCTAAAGTCCTTTAAATCCACTGAGCGTACCTTGCCACCTGCTTCCCGACGTTTGGTGAAACACTGTTCAGGGCATAATTCATGCCACAAGGCAAACAGAACTGCATTTAGTTGCTGGTCAATTTTCTTTTATCAAGCCCTGCTGCAAGCAAGTCAAGCCACATATGCTTATGGCTAGTCTTGCTTGGTCCCTTTGGGATAAAATCACAAGTACTTCTTGGGGGTTTGGTCTTAGCCACCTTCCAGACCCCTTTTGCTTGTCTGCTATCCTCTACTTCACCCAAGCCACTATCATGGTTGTTACCTCATGTATAGGACGACCAATATATAGGTCCAGTATGGCCATCAGTGACCCAAAGGATGTTGACAGGGCATTTTGCAGCACTATGTCTCTCATGCTGCCTGTAAAGTTTTCATCGTCTGGGCCACTAATGTTCACATTAAACATGGACTGCTGCATCCCCAGCTCTTGAATGATTTGGACCAGCTCTTCATACTTTTGCCATTTACTAACAATCTTGGGCAGTTCTCCAGAATTTACCCACAAAGTTCCGGCAGCTGCACTCACCCAGTCCATCAAGGAGTGATTACCTCATCCGGGTGCACACCTGCGGCTATTCTACAGCTGCTGTCTCAAGGATGGGTGTATGGTGATGGAGGCCAACTTCTCCACCTCCTCACTAGAGCACATTACACTATCCACTTCTAGGTCCCATAACCACAACAGCCAAGCAGCCAGCGTCTCCCCATGTTTCTGCCTAAACTGTCTCCCCAAGTCAACCAGTTCAACCTGGGTATAGGGGTCATAGGTGGTGAACTGGATCATCTGTGGATCGCCCACCGGTTGTCCATCCAATCCCATAGGCTGCTTGTGCCTCAATTTCTCATACACAAGAGGTCGTGCCTGGAGATGCATGGTTTCCCCCAACTCACCTTTGGGTTGGTCATCTTCCCTGGTGTGAGGGGCAGGAGTGGCCAGTCACTGCACATTGTCGTCTAGGACATTTATCCATGCTTCCAACAACTCTGCTTTCTGCCACAAATCTCGATCAGTTTGCAGCATAGTTAACAGCAGCCAGGCTCTGGTCAGCAGAAAAGTAGCCACCGGGCACCACATGCTCAAGGATGCCTACATTTCCTACTACTTCCAAGGGCTTTCGGCTTCTGTACCTGCTTAGAGTCCTGCCAACCACACCAATTTGTCTGGCTACCACTAAGCTATGGCTAAGGCCTGGAATCCTCACAGTGCCAATTGTCTAGCTCTTAGTCCTGTTCTTGAAACCAACTGTAAAGCTAGGCGACCACGCTAGTTGTCATGGCTCTTTTACCTGTTGGTAATCCTGCACTGACTGGGCCGATGGTTGAGCTAGAGTTGAGTCTGGAGCTCCCAGACCCCTCAAGCCCATTCACAGGCTGGGTCACCAGACCCTTTCATACAGGTCTATAAGCTAGGCAACCTGCCACACGGTCCTTGGAAGCTGTGGGTCTGGAAAAACATGGCTGCGCAGGGCAGGAGCCAGAGGCAGTAAAACACCAGCCAAAGATGCGCTGTTGTGCAGGTGCACCTACTCCACCCACACAAACAATGTTTATCGAACTACCCTGAACCGGCTCCGAGGCGAGGGGAGCCTGACCATATTATTCCATTTTCCCAACACTTGTTCATTTGACAATTTATCTCTCTTTAGTAAGTATTGACTCCAAATATACTGGGAGCCAGTCTCTGTACTTAACTTTTCTGGGCTGTTACTTCAGTCTCACAATATTGCCAACTCTTCTCAATGTTGTCATCATCAATTGTGGGTAATAATCGCTTCTGTCCATCAAAAGACTCTGTATGTGAACAAGTTTTAAGATCTGCTGAGTAATAAATACAGTGTCAATACCAAGTTAATGATTGATGATACAGCACAGCGTCCTGATCCGCAGCAGTCTCGCCACTGGCAGTTTTATTTTGGAGCGCCATCTAGTGTCTAATTTCACAAATAACATCCTACATTGTAAATGCCTTGGGACAGGGAAGTATTAAAACCAAAGCAAATCTATTTCTCAATTGTTTTCCTTAAGTAATTTTACTAATCTTGGAAAATTTAAAGGATAAAAGAATCTTTATGTTCAATTTTCGACTTAGAACTGTTTACAAATACTATTTAGTAATTGAATGTTTTAAATTTAATTAGTGTATGTTTTGCATTTCACAGGTGAAAAAACAATTGGTGGGGGTGCCTTTTCTGTTGGACTTTTATACAACCTGCACTTTAGTGCGATCTGCTTTTCGGAGTTTTGTTTGGGGTCTGTGTGTTTAAGGCCATGTGGTTCTAATCAAGGCGTCGGGTTGATTTTAGATACACTGTAAAGTCATAAACTCCTTAAATAGCTTTATCCTTATTGGCATATAATAATCATGTGTGTGTGTGTGTGTGTGTGTGTGTGTGTGTGTGTGTGTGTGTGTTTAGGGTACATGAACTAAAATCAGTCTTCAGCGCTATCTTGGAGAAGTCTAAATTCTCAGTTCCCATTTCCATATTGGTGAGGTGGTAATGATTGTAATGGTAGTTAACTCCTCTGATATTAGTAGCAGGAACGCAGTGCATATAACACTTGGTGCACAGGAAGGGTTCAGTTAACTGTTATCTTTATTAGTATGATTGACACTTTTAAACCAACAGTTGTACAATTGTGCCACTCGTTTCTACACAAAAGTGCATGTACAATATTTTTAAACAATTTTTATTAATTTAACAAAAAGTTCTAATGGCAATTCCAAAATATTAGGTAAATATGTTTTGCAATGTATTGTACCTTTTATAATACTTCATATACATTTATTAAGTTCTAACTATGTGCTTTACTGCTATGTTCTGTCAGTTTTCCTGATGCATTCTGAGGATGTGTCAGGGAACAATTTTGGTCTCAGCCCTTGAGGTGCTCCCAGGCTGGTGGGGAAAATATTTCTGCTCAGGCTTAATATCCTAATAGCTGGCCATTTGTCTGCAAAGACTGAAAAAAGAACAGAAAGTTTCTCTGGATTATTTAGGCTGGAAATCTCCTGAAGTTCCTTCCTGCGTATTTCTTCTCACGCTGCCATACATTGTGGGTTTCATAGCAGGCCGCAGCACTAACACTTCACGTTCTTTGAGGCAGGCACTGCCAGTGGGGTGGCTGCTATAAGTAGCTTCTCCCCTTGGTGAGTCAGGAAAAGAACAGATATTAGTCACTCAAAGTTAAGGCCTATAACAGGGTTTATTAATGTTAAATTAGCTACCTCCAAAAGCTGACAGACCCCACACTGGCATGGTAGAAAGAGGAAGTGAAAGAAAAATCAGCTGTCAGCTCCTATGCATTACACCTGTCGCAACATTCTCTTTTGAGTGTGTCTTGCTGTCTGAGTATGTCTCTCACGCTCCATTACAGCCTTTTAAACTTTACATTCTGCTCTGAATATTTAACTTTGTCCACCAGGGTTTCCAGAGCCTGAAGAATGTGACATGAAATAAAATTAGCCAACCTATTATATTCACGATGTGTGTAAATACAAGAATACACAATGTATTGCAATATTGCAATATTTTAACTATGTCTTCAGCTTACTGATGTTTATCTTGAGGGCATCAATATTGAGTGGGAAGACCACATCTTTAATCCGAACTTTCCTTTGGAGCTCACTTTAATAGGCTTTTTTGTTCCTCACAGGCTCATTCAATCTTATTTCAAAATCTGAGACTCCTGAAGACCTTCCAGAATTCAGGTCGCTTTAAAGCTGATGGCCAAAAGTTTTGTGTCTTTCAATTTTCAGAATGGCTTGTAAACATTCTGATTCAAAGCCTCAGAACAAGCTAACCAAGTATCGAAGTATAATTTTCAAAAAGTTTAAAACGTGACTCCCATACAAGTACTGTATGCAGCAAGATTATGCATAGGTCAAAGAATGATTTAACTCATCATTAAGGGAGCAAGCAGCATGATAAAGTTAGGTCAAAGGAGAATACATGAGAACAAAATACATATTTAGTCAGGAAAAGAAAGAATGCTGGAAGAAGACTGAAAAATCAGGTACAAAATTGGTTAACGTACTATCAGGTAATGCAGTCATAACTTTTACGGTTATCTGTTCTACTGGAAATAATTCATTTGTATCTCTGTTAGATAAAATTCTTTTTTTCTTTTTTTTTTTTTTAAAGATGACCAGTAAGGGGATCTTAACCCTTGGCTTGGTGTTGTCAGCACCACGCTCAGGCAGTGAGCAAACCGGCCACCCCTATATAGGATCCGAACCCGCGGCCTTGGTGTTATCAGCACCGCACTCTACCGAGTGAGCCACGGGCCGGCCCTAGATAAAATTCTTATTAATTTATTAGCCTCTACAAGTGAACATCTAATTTTACATATTCTAGGCCTAATCAAAATTCAGAGTTAGGGCTGGCCTGTGGCTCACTTGGGAGAGTGCGGTGCTGATAACACCAAGGCCATGGGTTCGGATCCCTATATAGGGATGGCCGGTTCGCTCACTTGGTAGAGTGTGGTGCTGACACCACCAAGTAAAGGGTTAAGATCCCCTTACCGGTCATATTTTTATTTTAAAAAAAAAAAGTCAAAGGTACCTTCACCTAAAGCTGTGCTGTCCAATATGGTAGCTACTAGCTGCATGTGGCTAATCTGAATAGAAATGTTCTGCAAGTGTAAAATACACACCAGATTTTGAAGATTTACCATTTAAATAATGTAAACGATGTCATTTTTAAAAATATTGGTTATATGTTGAAGTGATAATATTTTGGATATATTGAGTTAAATAAAATATATCATCAAAATTAATATCACCTGCTTATTTTTATTTTTTTGATATAACTACTAAAAAATCAAAAATTATGTATGTGACTGACATTCTATTTTACTGTCTAGTGCTACCTTAGAACATCAGATGACCCATAAGTGGACTTTTTAGACAATACTCTAATACAGCTTAGAAAGACATGAAATGTTTTTGCCTTGTTTTTCAGTATTGCATAGCTTTTTTCAGCACAAGTTAGAGGGATTTGGAGAAGGGTTACTTGTTCCTCTGCCTTCTGCCCTCTACCATGCAGCTGGTAGGTTGGGGGCAAGATTCTGGGTGGCTGGATGTCCTAATGGCTTGAGGTCTGGACTTTAGATTTGAATGTACAGAGATGTGATTTAATTGATTCAACCAGAATGATCAATATTAGAGAACTGCATCACAGTAATCAAATTTACATGCCAATGATCGATACACCAGGATGCCAATTTATAGTGAAGGGAAGTCCAGCAACCTGGTATTCAAGACTCCACACAGCTGTTTGCCTGGTGGAGATAAAAACTCAGCTAAGTTTCAGATGAGGCAGGGACTCATGGCACATAGAACAGAGTGACATGTTCTTATTTTATTTATTTTACTAAAATTTATTAGCATGATGAAGGTAATTTAGTTGTCTGTACACTTTCAATAGTTTCTCACAATTACTATTCCCGAAGTCACACTGGGGGATGGCCAGTCTAAAGCGGTTTTCTATGGCTGTTTATTCATCCATCACTAATCTCATTAGGCTGTTAATTCTCAGAGGACATAAGCAGTAGGAGACACTGTTTCCCTTTTTTTTTTTTTTTTGAGCATGGCTGGCCAGGATGGGGAACCAAATCCTTGACCTTGGTGTTATAACACCATGTCCTAACCTACTGAACTAACCTGCCAGCCACTCTTTCCGAATACTGAACAAATGCTATTCAATGAAACTATGGGGTTATCCTCAGTCTAAAAGAAGATGCCTCAAAAAAAAAAAAAAGGCAAGAAAAGATGATGCCTCATTTTTCATTCATCACTGAACTCAATTTGTATAGCCCCATAGGAATTTACCACAACCCAAGGCTGACATCTTTAACATATTTTTCATGTAAACATATATTTAAACAGGAATTTCCTGTGAGTTATAATACTTTGTTCCCAAATATAAATATATAATTACATTAAATATGTGAGCAGAAAGTTTACCTTGCCTTTTCTCTCAAGGAAAAAATTGCAATTACTTGGAGCCAAATGGTGAAATATGAAGTAGCAAAGCAAACTTTAGAATAGAATACAGATGGCTAGTTTTAGAGGGGATAAGAAGAGGTAATATTAAGCTCATCAACAACAGATGGTTTATATATTCTAGTACTTGTCCTTATCTTTGTTTAAAATTTTGTGCTCTAATTTTTTCTATTTCCAATCTATCATTTATCTTACAAGTTAAGAGGAGCTTTTCAGTAGTTGCTTTATTTTCATCTATATGTCTGAGTTCCCAGTTAATGTCCTTCTATATTATGACATGTATGAAGTGTTGTTGCTGGAAATAATCTAGAATTTTTACGGGCTGAAATTAATCTCTTCATTGCAACGTATAAAAATAAATCAACGCTTGTTTTCTTTGAAAACAGATCATCTTAATGTCCCCAACTGCTTAGTCTATTGGGGGTTCTTTGCAGGCTTAAGGGATCTCCCTTCTTCCCTTTTTATCCTTATTCTTGAGGGCCAGACCCCCTGCCTTGAACAACTCAGAGGGGAATCTCAGAGCTTTTTAAAAACAGCCCAATTTCTCGCCTTTGGAGAAGTGAAAAGGGCGCCCCGCCCCCATCTATGAAAAGAGGGATTTGATAAGACAGTCTTAATTTCTTCGAAGCAAAGATTTGTCTCTAATCTCCCACCACCCAGGACCCCCCCAAGGCTTACGAACCCCCTTCCATCCCTCCCTAACCGCTTTGGACTGGCCCTGGTATCCTTGCCCCAGTCCACAGTTCCTGCGGCTCTGTCTGCAGAATTCACAGAGGACCTGTGTTACTTCCCTTGCGAAGAAGAAGAATTATCGTGAAAATTTAGGTGTAAACCATTTCGTTTTTGTCCCCAAAATAAGGGGAGCATGTGCCCAACCATCCCTGGGAAAAAGAACTTTCAGGGGCAAAGGAGCGAATAGGTAATTTAGAAGAAAAACAGAAAGTGGTCTCTGACAGCCCTGGACTTACTTGGGAGTTGGGGGAGTTGGGGACGCCTGGACGCGTTGTCTTCGTAGTTGCGGAAAAAATAAATGGAGAGCACGAAGCCTAAGCCTTCTAGGATCCCTTCCTGACCAAACCCGAGTGATTTGATGGAGGGCATTTTAATATTTTCCCCCTTTTGTGAGGTGGAACAAACACAACTTGGATGCAGCGCGGCAGCTCAGAGCCTGCCAGCCAGGCGGGAGACCGGAGCACCAATCAGCGCGCGCCTGCGCTCTATATATACGGCGGCCCTGCCCGCGCCGCTTCATCGGCGCTTTGCCTTCTGTGTCCGGGTTGTTCATCCTCAAGATGTCCGAGACTGCTCCTGCCGCTCCTGCCGCCGCTCCCCCGGCGGAGAAAGTTCCTGTGAAGAAGAAGGCGGCCAAAAAGCCTGCCGGTGTGCGCCGTAAGGCATCGGGGCCTCCGGTGTCCGAGCTGATCACCAAGGCTGTGGCTGCCTCCAAGGAGCGCAGTGGGGTGTCCCTGGCCGCGCTCAAGAAGGCGCTGGCGGCCGCCGGCTACGATGTGGAGAAAAACAACAGCCGCATCAAGTTGGGCCTCAAAAGCCTAGTGAGCAAGGGCACCCTGGTGCAGACCAAGGGCACCGGCGCCTCGGGTTCCTTCAAGCTCAACAAGAAAACAGCTTCCGGGGAAGCCAAGCCCAAAGTCAAGAAAGCGGGCGCCGCCAAGCCCAAGAAGCCCGCCGGCGCAGCCAAGAAGCCGAAGAAGGCGACGGGCGCGGCCACCCCCAAGAAGAGCGCCAAGAAGACCCCGAAGAAGGCGAAGAAGCCGGCTGCGGCTGCTGTGACCAAAAAAGTGGCCAAGAGTCCAAAGAAGGCTAAGGTTGCCAAGCCCAAGAAGGCAGCCAAGAGTCCAGCTAAGGCCGTGAAACCCAAGGCCACCAAGCCCAAGGTTGTCAAGCCCAAGAAGGCGGCACCCAAGAAGAAGTGAGCTTCTTCTAAAACCCCAAAGGCTCTTTTCAGAGCCACCACTGACATCAAAAAGAGAGCTGGATATTTGTTTTTTTCTATCTGCCTTGCGCTTTTCACCCCTACTCTGGAGCACAATTGCGGAGGCTGGCACTTCCAAGTTGGGCTGGAAAGGGTGGCCATAGTGAGGTTAGTAACGCTACGACTCCTTCCGATAGCTAGCCTGTCCCGCCTGGCCAGCTGCTCTGAGGCGTTTTCCGCGGGCTGTACTCGGGATAAACCTCCAGCCCCACCCCGTGGGCTACAAAAACAGCCGCAGATAAGCCAGTTTCTTAGTCCTAAGGAATACGCAGATTGGACCAAAAAGTAATTCAAAAGTCCCGCCCTGCTCTGGGGTTGGCGCACTTCTCCAGCCCATGATTTTCATTCTGTATTTAACTGGGTGGTGCCCGGCGTTTATTACACGTTTTGCTTCAATTGGGTTTGGAAGTTTTTCCTTTTCGCTTGGTAAATGTGTTTGGTATTTCGGACACTTCCCATGTGATCGGTAGTCAAGTTGGTTTCTCCTAGGAGTGTTGGTAACATCCAGCCCGGGGAGGAGAGTGGGTGCAGGCCCTTTGTCCTGCATCCGTCTGCTGTTGGTTCCCCACAACAAAGGAATAAAGGAATATACAAAAAGCAACCCCGGGGAGGAGAGTGGGTGCAGGCCCTTTGTCCTGCATCCGTCTGCTGTTGGTTCCCCACAATAAAGGAATATACAAAAAGCAACTACAGCAGCGGCAACGACCCTTCCACTCGGGACAATGCTGGACTAGGCATCTTCTGTTCCTTTTATGCAGCTTTCCGCAAACGCGTGATGGCTTTGAGCACATCAAAAACAACTTTGAGTCAGCCATTTTGTCCTGGCGTGAGGGTTTCCTTTCCTCACTTCAGATAGGCTTTAACACCCCAAAATCCAAGTTGCTTTTAATGCATTTTTGTGCAGTCCACGCGGAGAACAAAGTATTGGTTAACTGTCGGAAGTGTGTGTATGGACGAGGAGCATGTTTCTAATAAAGGCCTTTAGTTTTCACTTACGAGTGCTCTCTGCATTCTGACACATCCAAGGCGTTTCTCCTAGATACAGAACGTCCAGCGTCCTGGTTTTTATTCTGGTGGACAGATTTTAGCGAGGCCCAAGTTGGAGAGACAGGCTTCTGGAGAGCAGCTCACTGATTCTGTCATTTCCACAACGATGAATCTAGCGTAAGTTAATTATCCCATTAATCGTAGTGACGGCGGGATTCATCCACAGGAAGGAAGCGAAGGGAAGGGAAGGGAAGGCGGGAGGAAGGAAAATTTTTCCCGTGGCTTCTTCCGGTAATTTTGTGCTGTTAGCTTTACGTTAACATTAAATGATTAAGCCCTCTGTATTTTGGTGTGAAGTTTATTATATGGGCTCATTTTCTTTTCCGAGACCATTAGTGAACTCTCATTTCTGATTCCTCCTCCCCACTTTGGATTCGGCCTTTATCACAGGCTAAGTTACATGGACAGGTGAAGTAAACCTCAGGTTTCTATTTTGTTCCTTTGGTGTTTCTGGCCATTAGTAAGGTGTAGGATTATAGTTTTTTAAGTATTGTTGACAGCACGATCTTCAATACTGAGAAGAACACCTGACACATAGCAGGTCAAATAGTAACTGAATGATTAATGAACTGAGATGTTATGACATTAATAACTGGTAGGGCTAATTGCCTCATTACTCTTCTTTTTCAGAATTTTCCTGTTTACTCTATTTTCTGTGTATTTTGTTTTTTCGTTTGTACTTCAAGATGCTCCCCTTCCTACTCCTCCAGCCTCAACATGCATAAAAAACCCTTAACACACTACTAATAGTTTTATTGGGATTAGATTAAACTCAAATTAATTTGTGGAGATGCTGACTTTTCTTATTCAAGAAATCTGTTTTTCTATTTCTTTAAGTATTTTGTTAATTGCCCAGAGAGTTTTTGCATTTTCTTTGCAGATATATATTAACATTTCTTATTACCTTTATTCCCAGATATTTTATCTTCTCTGTTGCTGCTGGAAATAGTAACCTATGAGATTTTAGATTTCCTAAGTTATTTCTTAAATAAGCCCTGCGTCTTTCTAGTTTATGGTTTTGTGTATCGTTTCTTCCTTTTTATCTGTCTCCCTCTAGCAAAATCTCACAATTCTCAAATGCCCTCTACTTTATACGATTATTTCTTTATCATACTAGAACATCTAATGAACACCCATAGACCTTTGTTTATGTCACTAAATTAGCATTAAACACAAACTTCATATTGTTGTTTTTGGGGTTATTTTACCTGCTACACTGAATTATAAACTATTTGATAGTAGATACCCTGTTTTATAGATCTTTGTATCTGTAACACAATAAAACGTCATACACATAAGATACTCAAAGTGTTTGTGATATTTAATTAGTATTTAGATATCATAAGGCTCTGTGAAGTACAAATGAGCCAGTGTTCCTACTACTCCAGTTTTTTGGTATATAGGTTCAGTCTAAGCTTGAGGGTTCCTTATTTTGAGACTCCTCTGCCCTTCTACACCAGCTTTATCGTTGCTTAATTATTTGGTTTAGTATTGAATATTTTTTTTTTTATAAAGATGACCGGTAAGGGGATCTCAACCCTTGGCTTGGTGTTGTCAGCACCACGCTCAGCCAGTGAGCAAACCGGCCATCCCTATATAGGATCCGAACCCGTGGCCTTGGTGTTATTAGCACCGCACTCTACCGAGTGAGCCACGGGCCGGCCCTAGCTACTCAGTTATTGAAGGCATTTATGCGTGAGTGAATTAACAATCTGTAGAACAGTGATGTCAATAGACATACAAAGTGAGCACAAATACAAGCCACATACATAATTTTAAACCTTCTAGAAGCCAAATAATAAGGAAAAAAGAAACAGTGAAATCAGTTTTAGTAATGTGTTCTATTTAAAGCAATATATCCAAAATATTGTCATTCAACATAAAATCAATGTAAAAAATTTATGAGCTATTCTACATTCTTTTTTGTTTCTCATACTATGTCGTTGCAATCTCATTTGTATTTTACACTTACAGCACATCTCAGTTCATAGTAGCCCATTTCACGTGCTCAGTTAACCATACGTGGTTTGTGAAGATGATACAGTGCAGCTCTAGTGTTTTCTGCTCTTATCCTGGTCTTCTCTGACCTCATCTTTGATTCAAAGCTTGAATGCCAGTGTTTCCTAATATACACTGTTTTCTTTTCTTTTTGTTAAAAAAAGATGACCAGTAAGGGGATCTTAACCCTTGACTTAGTGTTGTCAGCACCACGCTCTCCCAAGTGAGCTAATGGGCCATCCCTATATAGGGATCTGAACCTGTAGCCTTGGTGTAATCAGCACCACACTCTCCTGAGTGAGCCACGGGCTGGCCCCTAATATACAGTTTTCTGAGTACTAAAATTTTGAGGAAAAAGGGTGTCTGACTTTAAACAATGGTAGATTGGTCTAGAGGTCCTTGTGCCAATTCGAGCAAATCAAAAAATTTCTGTTCAAAAACGAATCAAATTATAGAAGCTGAAGTGACTTGATGTCAGAGACTGGATGTTGCCTTCTTAGACACCATATTGGAGAAATCAAGAGATGTTGTTGACAAGAAGAGTTAAATAGAGCATAAGTGCAGAGAAAAAGAGATGAGAGATGTATAGAGGTAAACTGTCTGACTGGGTTCCTGACATTTCCTAAGTTTCTTTCTGGTTCTTTAGGCCATCAAAACTTGGGCCACCTCACTGAGCTCAGCTTAAGTCAAGTTGCAGCCACCAGGATATCCTAATTAGGAAACTTCAAATATAATCTTAATTAGTGCTTAAAATAATGGCACCATGCACTTCTATGTTCCTTTCTCCTTCAAATACTTTAAAGTCCACTCATTTACTTGATTTGCACATCAGCTGTAAGAATTAGGCAGAGAAAGAACACAAGCACGGAGAGTTGATTTTCTAATGTTACCTCAATGCCCTTTGGGGTCTCAATTTGGGGTCCTAACATTAAATATCAGCTGAAAACGTATTTCCGTAGATGAAGGATGTCCTTTACTTTGAAGTGAAACCATTCCATGCATTTACAGAGTTAAAAATTATAAAAATCTCCACTTTTACCTGGCCTTTATATACAGTCTTCAACAATATGTTTTCTCAGTTTTGTCCATGTTTTTTAGTTTTGTTCCATTCCTTCACAATTGTTCACATGGTTGACTGGCTTAGCTCTAATGAGCCATTCATTTGAATCTAAAAATTGGCCACCTTAAGAAAAAAGATCCTTGTCTCAATTTTAGTTGATGAGACTGTCAGGGAGGAAAAACTTTCTCTACCCTCTCAGGTTCTCTGCCTGGGGAACTGCAAATTTAACTGAAAAAGACAGATTAACAGGAGAAAATAGTATACAATTTTAATTAGTATTTTACATGCACAGAGTTCACTTCAAAAGAAGTGAAACTCAATGAAGCATTTAGACTCAGGGGCTTCTAAGCCATTCTAAAAAGGAAACAGGATTTCGGCTTTTCTAGCACAATGAGTTTTGGAAATGTGACTCGGAAATATATCAGCAAAACTAATGGAAGATAAGGGTTATTTTCTTTTTCTTTTTGTCTTATAATAAGCATTATTTTAATGAAGTTTGTTTGCAGATTCATTTCAGTGCAGACTTCATCTCCATGGATAAGAGTAACTCTCCTTTTTCTGGTATAGGAGAGGGGGATACCCTCACAAGAAAAATTTATGCCACCTTCTCAAGGGGATATTTATGCCCTATGTTTAATTGGGTAAAAGGAAGACAGAGAACTCTTCCTGCATCTGTTGATTCTCAATTGCCTTCAGCTCAAAATAATCCTTATGCCAAAGAAGAATATCTTGGGGTGACATTCTGAGCCCTTTCAAAACCTGTGTTTAATTTAACATTATTAATATTATCATTTTCAAGTTTTTATTTAGTTTTGTAGAATAGTATTGACAAACAACAATAATGTATTGAAATAATTCCCAAAGCTACTGATTAGTCAAAAATGTTCATAATATTGTTCATGCATGATAGAAGTGTTGAGTAACAGAAATTAAAGGATACTCGTAATTTATTATTCTAAACTTTCACACACAGAGCTGTCATACATAGCTGAAAAATTAAATATCCTGTTATTCTCCTTAGGCAAAGCTCCAGGTATTTTGGCTATGTAAGCCTGAGGGAAATATAGAGATGCCTTTGTGGTTGAAATCCATCCATGCCAGAGATAAACAGGACTGGTACAAGACAGGATTACATCATTAGAGGATTTGAGAAGGGAACAGGGATTTAGGGCACAATGGCTACGACAGCCTTGAGAGCTAGCATTTCTTGAGCACATATTTACAACATGCCAAGCACTGTTACTGATTACTCTACATTTTATTTATTTATTTATTTATTTATTTTTATCTTTTTAAAAAGATGACCAGTAAGGGGATCTTCACCCTTGACTTGGTGTGTGTTAGCACCACACTCTCCCAAGTGAGCAAACTGGCCATTCCTATATAGGATCCGAACCTGTGGCCTTGGTGTTATCAGCACCACACTCTCCCAAGTGAGCCATGGGCCGATCCTTCTACATTTATTTTTATTATTTATTTATTATTATTATTTTTTAAAAGATGACGGGTAAGGGGATCTCAACCCTTGGCTTGGTGTTGTCAGCACCATGCTCAGCCAGTGAGCAAACCGGCCATCCCTTTATAGGATCCGAACCCATGGCCTTGGTGTTATCAGCACCGCACTCTACCGAGTGAGCCATGGGCCGGCCTCTACATTTATTTTTAAACACATCTTGTCACAGCACTTTGAAGCACGTGCCATTATTACTCCCATTTTAGAGATGAAATGAGGCTTGGTGACATTAAGGAGGTAGCTAATTAGTTTTTATTCGTGAGTCAGTGTAATTATCCCCTCTACAAGACTAGAGCTGTTCCTCAGAAATTAAAGAGCCACGGATGTAATTTAAATTTTTTTTTTTTTAAAGATGACCAGTAAGGGGATCTTCACCCTTGACTTGGTGTTGTCAGCACCACGCTCTCCCAAGTGAGCTAACTGGCCATCCTCATATAGTGATCCGAACCCGTGGCCTTGGTGTTATTAGCACCACACTCTCCCGAGTGAGCTGCGGGCTGGCCCCTCTCATATCTTTATTTTAATTTGCAATGCTAAGATATCCTAATCACAGCTGGATAAGACTTTTATTTCTACTTAATCTTCTCTTCAATTACAATTCCCCTTGTCTTATATTGGAATGCTGATGAGAATATTCAAGATATGGGTAAGAGAAAATTCAGTTTAAGATATATTTAGTGTGGGGTTAATGAGATATATATTGTGATTTGCAGATGTCCTCATATATAGTTCAGTTGTTGCTAGCCAATCTGAATTAAGAATGGCTTCACGGAATACTGCTTTCTGGAATCCAGAAACTCACCTGGATTCCTACCAAAATGCAGAGCACAGGTTGGTGTCCTCAAACAGCCCCACCAGGTAGGCCTCGCAGGCCTCCTGCAGCGCCATCACCGCCGAGCTCTGGAAGCGCAGGTCGGTCTTGAAGTCCTGCGCGATCTCGCGCACCAGGCGCTGGAACGGCAGCTTGCGGATCAGCAGCTCGGTGGACTTCTGGTAGCGGCGGATCTCGCGCAGGGCCACGGTGCCGGGCCGGTAGCGGTGGGGCTTCTTGACGCCGCCGGTGGCCGGCGCGCTCTTGCGGGCTGCCTTGGTGGCGAGCTGCTTGCGGGGCGCCTTGCCGCCGGTGGACTTGCGAGCCGTCTGCTTGGTGCGAGCCATTTCGACTGACACTAGAGCCAAAGGTCTGCAGTAACCTCTGCTAAAGTTGCCTTTAAATACAGTTGGAAGCAATATGATTGGCTTTGTAATTTTTCAAAAGTCCCGCGCGACAAAATCATTGGCTAAAGAATGATCTGGATTGGTTTATTAGTAGAGAATGTGATTGGATGAACTGCCCCACCTCCCATTCTTTTTTTAGTTTGAGGTTTTCGTAGTAAGGTTTCTATGTCCTAGGTTATCCTGTCACCTGGTACAGTGTACATAACGACCCATGTAAGGGTCATGTTGGAACGTAAACTGTAGGCTCCGGAGCCACACTATCGCTCGAGCCCGCTCCATCTTTGGATTGTATTCTCTCTCACTAAAGTGTCCTTTGCTTTCAAAAAAAAAAAATCGTATAACTTCGTATAATGTATGCTATACGAAGTTATTACGAGTCATCTTTAAAAAAAAAAAAAAGGAAAATGTAAACTTGTAAACTAAACTCAGAAAGTCTAAGTGTGACCTGAAATTTTTATAATCTTTAACACGCTCGCGTTACTAATGCTGCCAGACTCCCACTCTACCACGAATGTTCAGATTTATGTTGGAAAGTATATTCTGCTTAAATTCAGAATTTCAAAAGCTCGCGCTGCTTAACTATTGGCCAACGGTTAGTTTCCTTGCCTTTTGCTTTTTTTTTTTTAGTCCAAGTGACATTCCCGCTACCCGTTTCCAAAATGTAATTTTTCGTTTCGATAAGCTTCACGCGGTACGCTCTAAAACGGAGTACTTCTTGTGAACAGGCTACTTTCCTGGGAACTGTTTTAAAATCACTGCCAACACATTAGTGATGAGGTTAAAAAATACACCCACAGTATAACTGGGTTATCAGCTCTTTTGTGAACATATGGGTGGCTCTGAGAAGAGCCTTCAGATACTTGAGAATAAGTGAGAATTACGTTTTCTGGTTCGCCGTGGGCTTCACTTTCCCTTGGCCTTATGGTGACTCTCGGTCTTCTTGGGCAGCAGCACGGCCTGGATGTTGGGCAGGACGCCGCCCTGCGCGATGGTGACTTTACCCAGCAGCTTGTTGAGCTCCTCGTCGTTGCGGATGGCCAGCTGCAGGTGGCGCGGGATGATGCGCGTCTTCTTGTTGTCGCGGGCCGCGTTGCCCGCCAGCTCCAGGATCTCGGCGGTCAGATACTCCAGCACCGCCGCCAGGTACACCGGCGCGCCGGCTCCGACCCGCTCGGAGTAGTTGCCCTTGCGGAGCAGGCGGTGCACACGGCCCACGGGGAACTGTAGCCCGGCCCGGGAAGAGCGGGTCTTAGCCTTAGCTCGAGTTTTGCCTCCTTGCTTTCCACGTCCAGACATGGCGACAAAAGCTAAAAAAAACCCCGGTATAATTCAAAGGAAAAGCACAACAAACGGAAAGAATCTTTTTATAGAGAGTGTAGGGCTGTGACAGTGAGCCTTCCTATTGGTCAAAATATGCTTTGCTATCTGTCCAATAGAAAAAGAGAACATGAATCCTTTATTTGCATAAACACCCCGCCTTAGAGATTGTGTAATTCCTTTACCCAATCCAAAGTGACAATTCTTGGACCCTCATTAGAATTACAGGAGTATAAATAAATGAGCTCAGGACTGTCGTCTTTATTAGGTGGTGGTGTTTGCAGTGTTACTAGTTTCGGTATCGCTTTTTTTACTAGCTTCGGTATCGCTTTTTCTTGGGAATTATGCCCGAACCTTCGAAGTCTGCTCCTGCACCTAAGAAGGGCTCAAAGAAGGCTATCACTAAAGCACAGAAGAAAGACGGCAAGAAGCGCAAGCGCAGCCGCAAGGAGAGCTATTCGATCTACGTGTACAAGGTGCTGAAGCAAGTCCACCCCGACACAGGCATCTCGTCCAAGGCCATGGGCATCATGAACTCCTTCGTGAACGACATCTTCGAGCGCATCGCAGGGGAAGCTTCGCGGCTGGCGCATTACAACAAGCGCTCGACCATCACGTCCAGGGAGATCCAGACGGCCGTGCGCCTGCTGCTGCCCGGGGAGCTGGCCAAGCACGCCGTGTCCGAGGGCACCAAGGCCGTCACCAAGTACACCAGCTCCAAGTGAACAGTCTTTCTATATAAAACCAAAGGCTCTTTTCAGAGCCACTCACTTTGTCGGAAAAGAGCTATAACCACCATTTCTTATGGTCTCGTGCTAGTACTATCTTTGAATCGTAAAGCAATCAATTCAATGGGCAGTGTTAGAGCGAAGGCTTGACTTGGACGGTTGCTTGGCTTTAAGCAGAAGCAATTGAAAAGAACTATTTTACATCTGTCTTTAATGTAGGTTCTCGATTCCCCAGCATAAGCGTTCTGGTGCTTATTCAATCTCGGTGGTTCTCCACTTCCGACATGATTGCGTTCCGAAAAACACGCCCCGTCAGAAGTCAATATTATCGTCTCCATCGTAAAGTCGAAAAATCCTAAATCGGGGTTTGGCTGGATACTTGGTCCGCTGGTTACTCACCTCCCTGACCCATCACGTTTGAGATGGAGATTAGAATCTCCGTGCTACGTAGTGAATGAAGCGGTTGAGGGATTTCAGGGTAAGTAACTTCGGGGGCTTAGGGGTGGTGTTGGCGGCAGGAGGGCGTGTAGGGGAAGTTTATTTCTGGAGTCTGATCTCATCCTGTAAATTCTAGCCTTGAGCGTTGGGGAAACCGTAAGCGAAATCTCTGGTTCCCTTCGGCGGCTCTATGGGGATACCTCCAGTTCTTTGCATACTGAAACTAAATACTTCTAAGTTCATGTTAGGTCGTTTAACGATGACAGCAACTAATCTAAAGCCGTTTAAATTGTTCTTGGGTCCCAGAAGTCCACACTCCCGTTTCCTGGGTCACTTTTCCTGTTTATGGCTAGAATGGGGCTTGGATGTTCGTTGGAGCTCTGGGAGGGACAAAGAGTTTGAATTTCGCGCCATTCTTCATCACGCGCCGCCTCCCAGCTAGTTGGAGAGAAAGACATACCGCTTTTCCTCTGTAGACCTTTTTCTAAAAATCGGGGACTCCAAAAATAATCGCTAGAAAAAGACAGGAAGGGCACTGGCTGAGTAAAAGAAGTCATTAAGAATACATCTGAGTCCGGGGTTGCGGAGGGGGAAGAAAAGCAGTGAGAAGAGACAGCAGACTGCGTATTAAAAAGGGAAAGAAAAAATTTTTTCCTTGGCCTGTAAGCGCCTATGCAGGTGAAGTTGGGGCCCAGGGAAGACATCCCTTCAACGCCATGAAGGTTCTTTAAGAAAATCACCTGATAAGCAAGTTAATATGAAGAACAGGCACAACACATTTTATTATATCATAGTTTCACGAGACACAGAGCCTTCAGAATGAAGACCCAAATACATAGGGGAAATTGCCCATGTTTATGCTCAGGTTCTATGAAGCCCGCATAGCCGTGTACAAATGTGATTGGACAAGAAAGGTATGACTTAATGCTACAGTAGACTGAGTGGAGAAGGCCTGTCTGTTTAGACTCTTCTTGGACTTTCAGTGCCGCATTTATTTCTCCATGGTATGGGCAGGACCCTTCCTGGAATTGGGGGTCTTAAATGACCTACAATCAGGCAAGGTAAGTCAGAGAACTTTATGGCCAGGTCTGAGTCAGAGGCAGGGGGGCAGATCAGAGTGTATCTATGAACTGCCTTAGGGAAGAGGGATTCTAGTTTCTGTGGCTTGCCTTAGGGGAGAATGAGGCTGTGAGACAGTGGCCCAGGTCAGAGGAAAACTTTCCTTTTGAGGGTGCTTCTGAGCCCCTTACTTTGGGGTATCGCTTTCTGAGACCAAACAGTGACAGTCATCATTGTCCTTGGATGAAGAAATAAAATTTACAGTTTCTAAGGCAGGACCCCTTGGAAAAGATTTAAAAACGCATCTTCTCCTGGATCCGACATAAGATGTCAGTGGACTGAGAAGCCTTTCCTATCTGAGTATATGCAAAATATCATTGTGAAAGAGATGCTCATCTTAAAAATAAACAATTTTTGTTTTTAGGTTATAAAACAACCCCCTTCCCCCAAATTATTAATGAACTCAGGCTGCAGTTTAAGAACTGACCTTTAGGATCTTCCCCTTGGAGGAGTGATACCTGGTAGCAATATTATTTCTTAGCATTTTCAGAATGAGCTTGTGAAGTAGGAATTATTTTCTCCCCATCTTGTCTTTCATAACATTTTTGCCTCCTTCCCGTTTTTTCTTTCTTTTCTTGTTTTTCTTTTTCTTTTTTTTTTTTTTTTTTTTTTTTTTTTTTTTTTTTTTTTTTTTTTTTTGCTTTCTTTCTTATTTCTTTCAAATAAGAAATCAAGACTCCTTGATTTCTTACCTAACCCTATACTTTCATTTGACAAGACAAAACCAAAACCCAAGCCTCAAAATTCAAAACTGGGCCCTTTTGCTATACATACTGATACTTGGCTGATCTTTAGTAAGTGAATGGGGAATTTAAAATAAATGAATAAATAAATCTGATACCTACCTGAACTTGGGGGGGAGTGGTGAGAAGCCAGAAATGTTCATAAATCTCCTTTACTGATTCTGATGAGGCTCCAACTTTGGACCCAGCAGGGCCAGTGGGCAGGCTCATCAACTTGAGAGAAATTAGCAGGGTTATACACCCCTTTTCCTAATAAACTCCTACATTTTCTCCAGAGCTGCAGTCTCTGGGTTATGAAGCAAGTGAGAGAAAAATAACCTGAGAGAGGGGTGTTTTGAACTCTACCTATAATTGTGGATTTGTCTATTTCTCCTATCAGCATATTTTGCAGTTCTGTTATTTTGTGCAAACACATTTAGGATTGCTCGGTTTTCTTGTTGAATTGACCATTTTATCATTACATAATATTCTTCTCTGTTCCTGGTAGTTTTCTTTGCTCCGTAGTCTATCTGACAGTAATATGGACATTCTTGTGTTTTTTTGGTTGATGCATGCATGGTGTATATTTTTCTATCCTTTGTTTTTAACCTACAGTTATAGTTATATTTGAAGTGAGCTTCTTGTAGACAGCATACAGGTGAGGCATGCATTTTTATCCACTTGGCCAATTTCTATTTTTTAAGTGGTGTATTTATTTTTTTTAAAAGATGACCGGTAAGGGGATCTTAACCCTTGGCTTGGTGTTGTCAGCACCATGCTCAGCCAGTGAGTGAACCGGCCATCCCTATATGGGATCCGAACCCATGGCCTTGGTGTTATCAGCACCACACTCTTCTGAGTGAGCCACAGGCCGGCCCTTAAGTGGTGTATTTCGACTGTATACATTTAATGCACTTATTTACATCTTACAACTTAAGGGTGTGAAGAATAGACAAATATGCCACCCCAAAATATGACAGTTTGGCATGAGGATTATTTTGAGTTGAAGGAAATTGAGAAGCAGCAACTACAAGAAAAGTTCTCTACTCTCCTCCTATTTGCCTACATGCAGGACATAAATTTACAAAGGTGACTGTCCTCCCCTCTCTACCAGGAAGAACAAAAAGTTAGTCACCAGGAAGACTTTAGACTCTTACCAGCCTGGAGAAGGCATCAGAGGAATCTCTGTAATAAACTTTATTAATTAGCATTTATCTACCATTAGTTTCCCTACATTTGCCTTCCCACAATTTGCTGCCCCTAAAGACTCAAGGTCTTTTTCCTTTGTCTAGTTATGATTTCACAGCTTGCTACTCTATCTAATTCAGAGCATAAGTGTTCGACTTTAATGGCTTCTTTGGGAATTCATTTCCTTATCAAGGCTCCCATGTCACCTAAAACTTACATTAAATAAGTTGGTATGCTTTTCTTTTTTTAATCTATCTTTTATTACAGGGTCCTAGCCAAGAACCTAAGATGGGTAGAGGGAAAATCCCCCCCTCCCCCTCCATATGGCAATCACCTCTGTCTGGCTAGTTTTTCTTCAGGTTTGTTCCAGTCATTTATTTACTGACTTTGAGGCACTTGCTGACAGGATTTCAAGTTATTTTACTAATAGCAGATGCCAAGTTCTTGTTGATTTGCTTGACTCGGTGACTTGGATGAGTGGAAGATTTGTTCTCCTCCATGACTCCACAGAGTACAGACTCCTGATGTTACTATATACACTTCTGCTTCTCGCCTGGGTTTTTCAACAAGCCCTTAATCTTGGCTTCTGTTTTACCTAGCCTTGCACATGTTCTCTGCTTCATCAAAATGGCCTACAATTTGTTAAGAACATTAGAATAGCCGTACCTTCTTTTTTTTTTTTTTTTTAAAAGATGACTGGTAAGGGGATCTCAACCCTTGGCTTGGTGTTGTCAGCACCACGCTCAGCCAGTGAGCGAACTGGCCATCCCTATATAGGATCCGAACCCGTGGCCTTGGTGTTATCAGCACCTCACTCTACCGAGTGAGCCACGGGCTGGCCTAGAATAGCCGTACCTTCTGATCCTTGGTTCCTGACATTCCCCTGGCTTTGAATATATCTGGAATTTTATTGAAGGATTTATTTTTTCCTACTTGGCTGACTTGTTCACCTCCTTCAGGTCTGAACTAAAATGATACTCTCCCGATGATACTTTCCCTTCCCATCTCTCTATGTCTCACCTATCACCTGTCATTACTTTAATTTTCTCCATAGTACTCATCACCAAAAAATACACTCTACCCTTCTACTATGTATTTACCTTACTGTGCGCCTTCCCAAACAAGAAAATTAGCAGTCCAAGGACAAAAGATGTTGTCTGATTTGTTCACTGCTATGTTCCAGGCACCTAGAACACTCTCTGGCACTTAACAAGTGTCCAGTAAATACCTATTGAATAAATAGTGGATGCACATCTCTCTTCTAAACTCTCTTAATCCTTCTAATTTATGGTGATTAATCTTCTCCTCCATGCACTCTTATACAATTTATTGCTCAAAAGCTTGATTTTGGATGCAGAATATGCACCGCCATTTAATTTTCATATATGCAAGTCCTCACTTCTCAAAGAGGCCATAAACATTTTTGGTGGTGGTATCTGAGATAGCTTTTTACATCTCCGTCATGGGTCTTGCAACTTTTCAAAGGCTATGAGACAGTGGTTATTAATGATTAATGCTGTTGTTGATGGT